GCGCTGCAAATACACGCCGCAGGCACTTATTGCAGTGACTTCGTACATGTCATCCGGTGTACGGATCGCATTTGCAAGCGCAGTCAGCGGCAAGCTTAGGCAGCAACCCCTGCTTCGGACTCTGATTCTTCTCCTGTGCTTTTTCTTTGCCCCCGCCCCCGGCGCATGTCCTGACAACAGAGTTTGCTTCAGAGCTGACTTGCATCCTGACCTAAGCAAATCTACAGTCGTGCCTTCTCTTCCTTCGCTTCCTTCGCGGCATCGAGAAACTCTTCACCCAGGTCCTGCGCTCGATAACTGACCGAATCCTTCTCTGAATCTCGAGCGGCGAAACGGCTGTAAGCAAAAAGACAGGTACCAGTTGCTGTTCGCGGATGCAGGCGATCCAACAGCTTGTTCATGTGGTAGGCGAAGAAGTTGCCGGAGAGCTGCCGCCTCAGAAGGACACTGAAGATCAGCTGCCCTAACGAGCAGGCTATACACTAGCCCTAGCTGTTCAAGATGGTTGCAACAACCAACGACACTCTCCTCTGTCCTTTCTGGCGTATGAGCACAACTTCCTGAGGTGGCAGCAACGCCCCGGAATTGCCAACTACGAGCAAGAGCAGTGCCTCCGCAAACAAGCCATGACGCAGGGAGTTCGAAAAATTGGCTCGCATCTCGCGTAAAACCAGGCAGGGGTCAGTTCTCTGGAGCTAGTTCGCAAGCCACGATCTTCAGACTAGACTCGACGCTTCAACCTACCTCATGGGGACATGCAATACACACTTACAGAAAGATTCCACCTTGCCATGAGAAAGCGTCTAGTGACAACAATGTGCCTCCCTCTGTCGGACAATGCACATTGGTGTGCCCTGCGCGCCTGCAACGCTGCATTCATCACACGCCCACCCATGACCTCTCCAAGCTCACGGGTCCACGACTCCACGAAGACGAACCTAAGCCTCCTCTACTCTTGGCCCCTGAAGCTTCCTTTTCAGCAGCACACTCCGACTCCGAATCCGATGACGATGCCTCTTTGTCCACGAGCGTCTGCCAGGCCTCCGAAGGCTTCCGGCGCTTCCCGCTTCGAGGCTTCAGGCAGACACGGCCACGTAGTCAAAGCGACAAGCCGGAAAGACTCAAGTTCCGCAAAGATCCGCGATGCGTTTGTGCGTGGCTGCGCACAAACACTCGGACAAGATGCTCAGCATGCACCTATTCAGCTTGCAGCCTTGGAGATTACAAGAAGATTTCGGCGACCACTTACTTATCTTACTTCCGTTGTAGAATCGATGTCTTTCAGCTCGAGCACCAGCACTGCCACTTGAGCCGTCCACTGGGAAGAAAGTCTTTCTGAGCATCCGGCACCTCTGAGCTCAAGGTTGGCCTGGACCTTCATGATACGATCCTGCAGGCTAATAGCCGCGCTAGCTTGCAGACCAATCTCCACACAGACACAGTACAATCCTTCAGGCCCATCTTGGAGAATCCGCCGAAGCCACCGTTGACCTCACGCTTGCCACAAGCACAGCAGGGCAAGTGAGCAACATAAAGAAGTCTCTTCTCTCTGACTGACGGATGACGCTTTTCTCTCCTTTGGGATACCGGACTGGCGCCCGCTCACGAACCAGTCCCAGGTCAACTTCCTCCTGTCGCTGGCGCCTAGAAGAGAGAGGCCCGGTCCAAGAGTTCAATGACAGCTCTCTGCTCTTGTCTGGTGAACCAGTGCACCCCTTGCGCTTGAGCAGCGGGCTTGATCTCCGCCTCTTTCAACTTTTCCTGTTGATTTCCGAGTGCACTCAGGATCGCTTACTCTTCCCCGCTGGTGCACTAAGTCTGCTCACCACGGATCTCCTGCATCATCATGTGCGCTCTGTTTGCAGAGCGTCGCACCTGCGACAATGGCCGACTGGCCGCCTCAACACACTCGGTTGGTCAGAGTGCACCTCCTTCATGTGCAGGGTCAAGATGTCCACGATTGTCTCCATCCTAAGATCCCCAAGCTGTGAGGGGGAAAGGATCTCGAAAGACAGAAGCAGCACATCCTTCAGATCCAGAAGCATGGGCCCTGACGCTCCTTCCCGGCAGAGGGAGTTCTGACAGTCGCGGTGGGCCTTCACCCGCACCTGGGGCCGCTTCGGAGAGGCGAGGCCGAGAGGCGAGAGCCGAGGAGAGCCGAGGAGAGCCGAGGCCCCGAGCGGGCTTCAGGTCTCCGCTCTTTGCTGCCGTTCCCGAGCCTCGAAGGAGGCGGCGGAGGTTTCGGCGCAGGTTTGAGCGGGCTCGGGCTTCTCATGGCCCCATGTGCACCGAGCATGGGGCAAAGGTGGCCGATGAGCAGGCATCCTGCCTCGGAGACCTCGGCACCTCGAAAGACAGAGACTCGACTTTCAGACCCTCGGCCAGGCTCTTCCGAGGTGCACGCTGGCCAAGTGGCGCTCCATGGATCGCATGATGAGCTTCACATTGTCCAGGTTGTCTCGCTGAAGCGCCTTCGCGTAGAGTTCGAGTTCGCCGCCGCGGCCCGGCGCGAGGACTTCCCCACCTCTGCCGCGAGAGGCGCATTCTCCACGCTGGCTGCCAGAAGCCGTACCTGCTTTGGACACTGGCCGCGGTTCGCATTGCAAAGGACCGGAGATCACTTTGCCGTGCAGAGAGAGCGTCTTTCGCTCCCATCTGAGACCCCTGCCACGTGAGTGACGATCTGCTCGTCCTTGGCAGCTTCGTATGGGTTGCTTTGGGGCAAACCCTAAGCAGAGTTACCAACGATCTATGACCTTTCTCCGGGAGTAGGCAGACAAACATAGGCACCGCACGTTCAGCCTGAGCATCATCATGTGGCAAGCCTCAGCCGGTTCCAAGGCTCCACACATCTCGAAGTTGAGTCTGGTCTGGACTTGTGACCTTCTGAGATGCCGGCATGCCTCGACCCGCCCATCCGCACGAAGGCCTGCTGCACATCTACCTCAGATTCGTCTGACTGCCAGGCAGCTGAGGCGACTATTCGGATGCTGCGTTGTGACTGACAGCCACCTTCCTTTTCATCCCCGCTGCAAGGCAATGGCACCATCTTTGGGTGATCTCTCCGTCCGACGGCTTCGCTCTGCATCCACGTAGACTGTCAGCAGGTCATTGCAGATGTCCTGCACATTTGGGGAGAGCCGAAAAACTGGCAAGAAGATGGACCAAACCGCTGCCGGATGTTAGTCGGGTCCGTTATGATGGACAGGAGAGGTAAGAGGACGACGATGAAAACGGCGAGGACGACCATGATACCGAAAGCAAGACAACAGCAGCAGCAATAAGGTGAAGGAGCATGGACGGCGTGCCGCAGAAGGGTTGTTTTTGAATGCCGCCTCACAACTTAGAAGACTTGGTAACTTCTTGTGGTTGTGAGCTGCATGCTGCCTCTACAACAGCGGAGCCGCAAGGCTTCGCCGTCACCAAGATAGCACGGTTCTGTTCTCAGGTGCAATTTGCCTCGCAACAGCAGGGTTGCCGGAGCGAGCATGGATGCACCTCAGTGCCGACTGTCCATGGCTGCAACCGTCTTTGCAACCAGCTCCCCAGACAACAAGAATCCAGGCTTCAGTGAAGCAGGCGCTTCTTCAAGCACCGTGCAAGATGATGTTTTTTGAGTTATGTGCCTCCTCTACAACAGCGGAGCCGTACGGTCTCGCCGTCACCAAGGTTGCACGACCATGCTTTAAGGTGCGGTTTGCCTCACAAAAGTAGGGTAACAAGTGTGAGCATGGACGCACCTCACGAAGTCCGAATTGCAGTACTGAGCTCTACGGCCAAAGTGACGCCAAGTTTGCCATGCCGTCGTTCTGCTGCGAAGCAATGATGCAACAGCCCTTTCTTCTTGACTGCAGGAAGCTCGCACCAGAAATCAAGAGCTGCTGCAAGGAAACAAACCAAAGTGGGCGATTCGCATGTCCAAACTGAAGCCCCTACACCTGCTTGTATCTTTCGTGGACTAGTTGCCAGTCTGCTTCAGACAATCGCGAGAAAGGGAGCAGAAAATGAGGAGAGGGAGACGAGCATTCATCGCTTGATGCCACCAGAAATACCTTCATTGATCTTTCTCATGGGTCAAGGGGTATCTCCTTGCCAAACATCTGTAGCCAGCAGTATCAAAGTATGATGACATAGCATGCATGGGAAAAAATATAATGACAGACGGAAGAATTGAAGAATAAACAGGCTATCAAATCCTCAGCAGATTGTGACTGCTTCGTGCACCTGTATCCGTATGGGGAGCTCCATTCGGTCAGAGGCCGTCTTTGCTTGAACTTGTGATCCTTTAGCACAAACAATATTGCTGTAGCCCTCGACAACATGGTTCGAGCGAGACTATTGGTGACTTACGTCATCTCGCAGATTCCACACTTCCTTTCGTCGGCTTGGACGTCCGTGCTGCTTTAGGGACCACGGCAAAAACTCTGACAGGCTATATACACTCACCTCGGAGTTGTGTCCGTTTGGATGAGAGCAGTGACACAACGAGCCACAACGCCGCATTGATCAAGCTGGAAATCAAGCTCTCTCTTCTTCCACACTCCTTCTCCAGAGCCCATCTGAATCTCAAGTCTTTGGCCCCCTGCCCCCGCCTCGATCTCGTCGGCCCCGCGGTCTTGGCTCAGGCCCAGGAAGCCTTCGAGCTGCGGCTCCTGAGCGCAGCGGCGCTCCAGTGGCGATCGGGCGGCGAGAACGCGAGGAACTGGGGCGACTGCGCGCAGCAGGCGATCCAACCTGGCGGCGTCTGGTAGAAACTGCTGTGCCAGATCGAGATCGGGTCTGGAGCCTCAGCCTCGCGCCCGTTCTTCGCGGTGTGTTGCAACGTGCCAACGTGCCAGCCCAGGTCGTTATTGGTTTTCCACGCAACTATTTGCAAGGGATCCGCGTCGCGTGAGTCTTTCATACCGCTCTCACACTGACCTACAGTGCTACAGCCATTCGTCCAAGTACTAGGACAGGCAACTCCCCGTGCAAACTCGTGGCCTCTGGGCCAGCCGATC